TGGGGCGGGCGCTGGGGCCGCTGCGCGGGGGGCAGCCCGTGCCGGGCTATTAGGGCTGCTCCTCCCAGGCCTACGCGCCCGCGATCGCCGCGGAGCTCGGCGGGAGCCTCTCGCTGCGTCCCGGGCCGTGGACGCCCCCCTGGCTGGAGGGGCCTGCCCAAGGCTCCCTGGGCGGGGGTGGCGATGGGGGGCTGCACAAGGGACCCTGCCACGGCGCAGGGGGTTATTCTGTCGTGTACGCGGCCTGTTCATGTTGGTCACTGTGCGCTTCCTGGTTTGCTCCTTGTGCGTGTTTGCATTTGCTCGCTGTGGATGTGAACTTACGTGTATAAATAGAGCCAATGCTCAGTGTCATTCCTTCATATAAAAGGTGCACTGTAACTAAGGCAGAATTGGTAAAAATACAGGAGAGCAAAATCAGTACAGATAATCCTAGAGAAAGTCAACCAAAAGTTGTTAATGAAGAGGGCATCAGAAGTGCATAGAGTGGCATCTGGTCCAGTTTCGGGGAAAAAAAAAAAAAAAACATGTGGGACGGGTAAAAGGATCTAAAGTGCCAGAGTCTAGAAGTGCTGCATGTGTTTCCTCCTTGTGCTTTCTCTGGCTCAATGCCAGCTGTCTCAAGGAAACAGGTAACCACAGGAAGAGCACATAGTTAGAGGAACCATTAACTTTGGAAAGCTACTGAGTCTTAGTATCTGCATTCTTGCAGAATCCAAGCTCTTGAGTGTTTGAGCCTGTGAACCATTTTAGGAGTTGCTCTATGCCTGATTACAGGCTGTGTTATTAGCCAGCCACTGGTTTCTTTTAGCACTTCAAGCAATTCACCCATTAGCAGGAAGTTTGGTGCATGACTTGATTTATGCAGAAGTTCAGCTGTTAAAACCTCATTTGTCCTGTGGGAATGGAAACCCCAGTATTTCTTCCATGGAGTCAAATTCCTTGTTTTTAAGAATAGCAGATAAGCTTAAGTTCAGAAATTATCAACTTTCCATGCATATATATATACAAAGTAATACGGAATAGTGATAACTTTCCTTACTGCAGGTCAGCAAGCGGCCCTGGAAGCTCAAATGTTGCTGCTGGCAGTAATCGCCGTCTTCAGCAAACACAACACCAAGTGGATGAGGTAACAGTCTATTTGGATGGCAGTGTAATAATTCCATCTCTTTTGGAAAAACCTGACAAGAAAAATAGATGAGCATTGGTCACAGCACTTACTGTTCCTTTATATGAAAGGGAAGCCTAGTGTCATTCAGCTTTCTTTATTCTACTTTTGTCACTTGGAGTCTTGGAAAGGTTTTTTTTTTTAAAAAAAAAAAAAAAAAAAGTGTTGGGGGGGAGAAAGGGTAGAGCGGCGGGGTGGGAAACAGAGGGCAAAATGCTCCATTCTGGTGGAGTGGGAAAAAGTTACAGCTGTCCAAAGGTTGACTGCAAACCCAGTGTCTGATAATCAGGTACAAGTTAAAATAGTACTCTTAAGAAAGAAAAGAAGAAGAAAGGCTCTTCATTCTGGCCTAGTGGCAAAAAGGAACTGATCTTATCAAAAAATAAAAAATTCAAATTTCTGAGGATGTCCAAAAGCCATTGTTGGTTAGCAGCAGCTTTATCTGCTTGAACAGGATAGCACTTCAAATGAATGTCAAAAATATTTTGTCAGTCATGTTACATTGCCTCAACTCCATTGGAAGTAGGTCATAAATTATTTCCCAGTTTTCAAGGAATGTCAGCCAAATTTTGAGAACTTGTCTGCAATACTGACACACGGAAGTAGGTAATTGTAACTTCCAGCAGTGGACATGTGAACTTCACGTTTTCATCTAAGCTCATGATTGGATCTCCTGAAAGGCAACTGCTCCTACTCCTTAGAGGAGACCATGAAAAATATCATGTATTGGAATCTGTTACCTGCAAGTAATCTCTCCAACAGTGATACGATTGATATACTTACTGTAAGTGTTAAATTGATGTAGGTGGTTGACATCATGAGGGTGAACGTGGACAAGGTGTTGGAGCGAGATCAGAAGCTATCAGAGTTGGATGACCGAGCTGATGCACTGCAAGCAGGAGCTTCCCAGTTTGAGACCAGTGCAGCCAAGCTGAAAAGAAAGTATTGGTGGAAGAACTGTAAGGTAACCATGGCTTGAATATGTACAAAATTCAGTATTAGACTTCACAGTATGATAGGCATTATCTCAAAAGTCACTCCAGTCAGTATAAGTTCTAGCATCTAGCTTTACAGCAGATACCACAATGCTCATGTGAAGTGACCATCTAGATCACCAGCCCTGCTGCTGCCCAAGACATCAATGGAGCAAGGGAAACATTACAGTGACCTGAGGCTGTGGGGAACACATGGGAAGAGATCAAAAATTGGTTCAACTAACCTGCAAGGAAATATTAAAAAGCAGGAGGAGAGCACTGTCTTTTACAGTTCCTGGTAGATGTTGGTACTTTCTTTGGTGAGCAACAAAGTGGAAAATGTGGTGTAGGACAGGAGTGTGAAAGGTTTTTAATAGGTTTCTTTTTACCCATGTTTGTATAGTCACCTTAGGCTCTGCACAGAGGCATGAAAGAGAGCTTGTTGATCAACTCTGGTTGCCAGTGTGCCCAGCCTACCATTCCTGAGTGGTAAACATCCATCAAAATTGCTTGTTGCACATGTTCTACTTGGCATATTTATCTAGCACACAGTGCAAGGGTACCTTGCAGTGGCTGCTTCCCTGCTTCCCCCAGTAAAAGCCTATTAATGCTGCTGCACAGCCTTGTTGTGGCTTTTTTCACAGATGTGGGCAATACTGATAGCTGTTGTTCTCATTATCATCATCATCATCATCATTGGTAAGTTTCATTGAAAAGGGGATTTATCTCTTAAGTAGAAGTGGATGGGATTGACTCGCTGGTACAGTTCAGTTAAGCCAGGGTACTCAAACTGAAGGTACATGTAACAACAACAGCTTGAAACAGCAGCCCCCACTTAAATGATTGTTTAGTGGACTGCAGTGAACAGTACAAGGCAAAGCGAGCTCAAATAGCTGATTCTGGAACACCTGTGCAATGTAGGTGTGGAAGAGGTAAAACTGGGATTCCACTAGACTTAACAATGAACAAGTTCTTATAGCTGCATACTGCAGAAGTGTAAAGAAATACCATTATGTGTCCCTTGTCTGAGAAGTACATTTCCATTTGTTCATAATCTTGCATAGATCAGTCCTCAGCATGGTAGATGCACTGCTGTAATAGGTAGACTTTTTAATAAAAAAAAAAAGTAGGGACTGCATTGCTTTTGATTGAAATGGTACTGACTGAGGTGGAATAGCAGGTGGGGGCATGCACAAATTGCGCTCTTTGTTTTGCTTTCTAATGTAGCCCTTAAACTTTATCCTCTGAAGAAATATGTATGTTGGGGCTGTACTACAGTAACAAACACTATATAATATAATAATTATAATATAATTAGCAACAGTTGTGGTCTCAGGTGAGACATGCTTGATGCAAGCACAGAGGAAAACTAAAGCTAAGGAAAAAGAAACACAGGAAACTTCAATCCCTCTCTACTTGTCTCTAGTATCTTAAAATTTTTAAATTCAGGATTGTTAGGGTAGAGGGCTGAAGGAGACATGTTCCTCTTCCAACTTTTTTCTTTTTTGTAGTCTCGACTACATGAGTTTAAGGAAGAAACTCAAATCGACTGCAGATGTCTGTCTTCAGCCTCTCCACTTCAAACCTGCTGTATTTTCAGCCCATCTACTGCCATGTAAAGCAAAATTATTTTGATTAGTAGATGTTAACTAAACCTGGTTGCCTTAAGACACTCCTAACAAGACACTACTAACAAGCACAGCCCACAACTTGCACAGTGCCTTGACAGACTGGAGCTGATGAAGAGGACTTGGTTCCAGTTTCCCAACTAAACGGTGTAATCAATTACAGCCTTGCTAGCGCCACACCAGCCTAGACGTGATTCTCTTCACCCCTCCGCCCTCGCGCCGGGCCGGGCCGGGCCCCGCTCCGCGCCGCGGGCTGT